TGCCTGCCATGCAGTTGCATGGCAGTCCCCAATAATGGTTTTGGTTTTCCTGTGACTTTTTTGCAGTATGATAAATGGTAGGAGCATAATATACGCTCCCAGTGTTTTGTTGATCTTTTTTTTTTGTAAATAATGACCTTTTTTTGTGGTTTTATTTATTTATTTTTGTATCTTGAGATCCTATGACGTCATCAACTACTCGAGTTATACTCAAGTTTTATTATATTAATGTCGAGTTTAAAAATTATGTAGTCGTTCAACCCCTGTTTCCTGCAGGATCAATAAAGTTCTTTTTTTTTCTGTGCCAGTCGCCGCCTCATCCCACCCATTTTAAACGCACTATATAACAACATGCATCAACATCTTATTTGAGTGGGAAGAGGGAATAGTTGGGTCTTCCTTAAACGCTCATTCTCCGTCTGACATTTGGGGGTGGGGTGGGGGGTTAAGGCTGCCTGGTTGGGGTCTGGGCTGTGGGTGGGTATTGGGCCTTGGGGGACGATTGGGGCTGGTGCTCCGGTTCTCCCTGGATTGTTTGAATCTTTTGATCGGGGTCCCTGGTTGCGATGGCCAGCCCTTTGGCTGGGGTGGCTGCCGGGTTCTGGTGGGGGGTCGGCTGTGGTTGTGTGTGTGTGGTCGTTGGTAGTGCGTGGCGGCGGTCGGGGGCGTGGCTTCACTTCGACGGGGTGCTGGCTGGTCAGCCTGATATGACATTCACGGTGGGGGTGCTGTGTGTGTGTGTGTGGGGGGGGGGGGGCAGAGGGGGGGGGGGGGGGGTGTGGGGGGGGGGGGGGGGGGGGGTGCATGAGTGGCATGCCGGGGCCTCTCCGGGCCTGTGGTGTGGGGCTTTCATTGATGTGCTGGGCCGGCCTTCCTCGGCTGCTCCTCCCTGCTTCTTTGGCCCCCGGCCTGGGGCTGGCTTGCGGTCACTGTTGGGTGGGTGGGGCGCATGGACAGCCCAACAGAGGCTCTATAGGGCTGTCCCTGTGTGCATGTTTGTCTCAGGTTGGGTTTTAGGTGGTCCCCTCTCTTGGATCAGTTTTGGCCCCCAATTTTTGCTCCCCTCCGGTGGTGGGCCCCCCTGCCGCCGGTGCATTGGCGGCTCTCAGCAGCTCTCAGTAGTTGGGGCTGGGTAGTGGGGTAAGTGCGGGCCCGCCCTGGTGGCTGCCTGCGGGGGCCTGGGTGCCCTGGCTCTGTCGGGCCTCTGTTGGGGGGTGGTATGACCTCGGGGCTTGGTGTCCATGGCCTGATCCACTCTGGAGGGGCGGGTTGCCAGCGGGGCCTGTTGACTCGTCGCTACAGCCTCCTGGGGGTGTCTGCATTGTGGTTGCTGGGGATTGCCCGGGGCTTCCCTTTGCTTCTGTTGGGGGACTACCGGAGTTCCGGGCTTGGGGGCCGCTGTGTGTCTGTGGTTCAGGTCTTCCCTGTGTTACCTTCGTGTCCTGTGGGGACGGGTTTATGGGTTCCCACATCCACTATTGAACATTTTTATGGAGAAACCTTATAGTGATGAGCATGCTCACACAAGTGTTTAGATTCAGGTGTTTATCAGGTACACACTCAGTTGGGTTGTGGTGGCCATCAAATATATATTGTATTACCATGTACTGTATAAAATACTTTCTAATGATGTTATAAGTATCATTATATATGTTGTTTGTTGTTGTGGTTTCTGACAGGTTCTGTCCCTGTCTGTTTTCTTTATATGTATTTGTGTTCCCCATTCTGCTCTTTGTATGATTTCTGTTCCTATATATCTGATTCTGTTGTCATTTTCCACTCACTCCTCAGTCTGCCTCTCCAGTCCTCAGTCTTTATCATTCACACCTGTCCCTCAGCAGCCACCTGCCCAGGTGCTCTCATTACTCACTTACTCACTCTCCCTCTGTCTTATAAAAAGCCTTTCTCTCCTCCACTCCTCGTCCGGTCATTGTTCTGTATTCACACACATCTCAGTCCTCCTCTGTCCTTTCTGTTTTCGTCCACCTGATAAATCTGCTCTGCCTGTTTACTCTGATGTCCTGTTCAGTCTTGTTCTTGATCGAGTTTTGCCAGAGTAAGTTTTGCTGCATCGACAGCGTTTTGTTTTGTTGTTTAAATAAATTATTTTTATTTAAACTCCTGCCTCGCTCGCCTGCCTGCAATTGGGTCTAAACTTTGGGGATTGTGATAGAATGACCGGACCAGACCCAGACCCAGCAGGTTCTTCGTTCCGCTCCAAGCGCCAGCACGAACGTGAGCAACTCCGCCAGGTAACTCGTAATTATCTGGACACCAGGGCCACCCCCAAGGATCTGTGGAAGAAGTTGGTGGCCACTGAGGACTTTGTTAACGTGTTTACCCGGTTGGAACTAGAAGGCTATGAACCGGGGATGTTTGAACTTTTTTCTCAAGCTTTGAATGAGAGACGTGTGCTGCGCTCTCTTCTCCTGCCATCTGCCACGCCCCCCAGTCATTCCAAGCACCCCTCACTGGCGAATGGAATGGTCTCGCCTTTGGACTCATCGCCATGTGTCTCAGTGGGTGCTGTGGAGGACACTGTGACACCATTTTGCTCAGTGGGTATCCAGGATCAGAACTCATCTGCTTGTCCTCTTCCTCACCACTGCAGAAAGAGAGGTCAACAAGGGACTCAAGCCAGTTTCACTAAACCTCAAGCCCTCTTTCTGGCTAAATCGGCCAGCTCTGCTTCAGAGGCTTCCAACTCAGTTCATGGGACCCTTCCTGTTGTAGAGCCCCTGGTCTCATCGCCTGATCCGATCCCCCTGGTCTTACCGCCCGCTCCAGCTCTCCTGGTTTCACCGCCCGCTCCGGCTCTCCTGGTCTCGCCGCCTGCAGACCCCTCGCCGGACTCACCGCCTGCAGACCCCTCGTCGGACTCATCAGCTGCAGACCCTTCGCCGGACTCGTCGGCTGCAGACCCCTCGCCGGACTCATCGACTGCAGACTCCAGCACAGAACCCGCAGCTGCAGACTCCAGCACAGAACCCGCAGCTGCAGAACCTGGCTCTGACCCCGTAGCTGCAGAACCTGGCTCTGACCCCACAGCTGCAGAACCCGGCTCTGACCCCGCAGCTGCAGAACCCAGCTCTGACCCCGCAGCTGCAGAACCCGGCTCTGACCCCGCAGCTACAGAACCGGCCTTCGACTCATCGCCTGCGGCAGAACCCGCCTTCGACTCATCGCCTGCGGGAAAACCCGCCTTCGACTCATCGCCTGCGGAAGAACCCGCCTTCGACTCATCGCCTGCGGGAGAACCCGCCTTCGACTCATCGCCTGGGGCAGAACCCGCCTTCGACTCATCGCCTGCGGCAAAACCCGTCTCTGACCCATCGTCTGCTGAACTCAGGCCCGACCACCCGGCTGCTGAATCCTCGTCCGACTGCCCGGCTGCTGAACCCAGGTCTGGCCCCGCAGCATCTGAACCCCATCCTGACCCAACAGCTGCCAACGTCCCGTCTGCCCCAGCAGCAGCCAGCACCACCATCTCTGGCCCCATTCCATCCTTCCCCGAACTCTGGTCCAGCTCTGGATGGTCCCCGGGCCGTCCGCCCGAACTCCGGTCCCGCTCTGGACGGTCCCCGGGCCGTCCGCCCGAACTCCGGCTTGCTAGGAACGATGCCCATTCATAGAGATACTTGTGTTTTGATTATTTTTGCTCCCAGGTCTACCCTGTCGGTTTTTGTTTAGATTTTCTTTTTGTGCCCTCCGTCCTTGTTTCCCCCATCCTCCCACCCATTCTGTGTTTTCTGTGTTGTGTTCTAGGGGACGTCAAGAGCCGTCCATTGAGAGGGGGGTTATGACAGGTTCTGTCCCTGTCTGTTTTCTTTATATTTATTTGTGTTCCTCATTCTGCTCTTTGTGTGATTTCTGTTCCTATATATCTGATTCTATTGTCATTTTCCACTCACTCCTCAGTCTGCCTCTCCAGTCCTCAGTCTTTATCATTCACACCTGTTCCTCATCAGCCACCTGCCCAGGTGCTCTCATTACTCACTCTCCCTCTGTCTTATAAAAAGCCTTTCTCTCCTCTACTCCTCGTCCGGTCATTGTTCTGTATTCAGACATCTCAGTCCTCCTCTGTCCTGTCTGTTTTCGTCCACCTGATAAATCTGCTCTGCCTGTTTACTCTAATGTCCTGTTCAGTCTTGTTCTTGATTGAGTTTTGCCAGAGTAAGTTTTGCTGCATCGACAGCGTTTGGTTTTGTTGTTTAAATAAATTATTTTTATTTAAACTCCTGCCTCACTCGCCTGCCTGCAAATGGGTCTAAACACTGAGGATTGTGATAGTTTCTCGGTTTTGTTGTTTTTTGTTTTTTTTTTCCTGCAGGTCTAGAGGCAGACTTCAATGATGTTGATTTGTGTTCTCTTTATCCCTCTCTCTCTCCTCTATTCCTATCTCCTTCTTTACATTTTAACTCTTCTTTCACTTTTCTGCTTTTTCTTTTTTGTTTTCCGTCCCCGTGTCCATTATATCTGGAACAAACCCAAAGCATATTCTAATCAAATTTAATTTATATATCATTAAGGCCAGCCATAATGCTCTGCTTGTGAAAGTAAATCTGTTGGGCATCACTTTGACACTCAGACAATAATTCTAAGTGTCACAATGCCGGACAGGACAAGGGGAAAAAAAAAAAAATCATTAAAGTTCTTATCTTCAGAGTAGGTGTGAGAAAGTGGTGCCCCGCTCTATCAAATGATAATCTGATGTGGATGGTCTGCTTGGTAGAAATCTTTGAAAACAATTGCAAAGTAAAAGAAAAGTCCATTTTAACCAATAAATATTTGATTTTAGTCATAATTGTCCACATCAGTGTCAGTTTTTAGCATTAAAACCAGGTCTGTGTGTTTAAGGTGCACCCCAGCAGCATTCGGTTTGACTTCGGTTAGACTGGTTTCCAACCAGGTGCTTTTGTTTGCAGCATGTTGCGTTTGCTTACTGATCACACTGTCACAACTGAAGTTTGTGACGAATGTTTGTTGGTGTGTTCCTGCAGAGCTGGAGGAACAGACTCGCAGGGCGCTGGAGCTGGACCAAGAGCGAAAACGAGCAAAGGAGGAAGCGGAGCGGCTGGAGCGTGACAGACAGGCAGCAGAGGAGGCCAAGGCAGCACTGGCTCAGCAGGCTGCCGACCAAATGAAGACGCAGGAACAGCTGGTGCCTTTGCTCACACCTCACACTACTTTGTTATTATTATTTGGGGTGCGAATCTCTGTGTCTGGTGATCCGATTCGATTCCCGTTTTTGGTGTCACGATACGATTTAAAATAGATTTTTTTATATATATATTTTTTTCGATTCAGAAACGATTTTTCTATTGAAATGGTCATAAATTTTGTTTCAATTATGTAGCTGACAAGCTGAAAAGATTAAACAACAATGTAAACCAATAGACCATTTATTTAAAAATAATTTTAGGTTCCTTACTGTATCAAATATTTTTTATTCATTTTATATTTATACCAAAAAGTAGGAAAAATATAGGAGTGCATAAAATTCTGTAACTTAAATTATCAGTATTAGGTTAGCTTAGTTGCCTGAATTTAAAAAATAAAAAATAAATAAAAATCTAGGAACAAATAATTCATCCATCCATCATCTTTACCCACTTCTGCCTTTTCGAGTCACGGGGGTCACTGGTGTCACTGGTGCCCATATCAGCCATCACTGTGTGAGAGGCGGGGGACAACAGGTCTCCAGTCCATCACAGACAAGTAATTCAAAATATATAAATACAAACGTAAACAGACTTCAGCCTACCATATATAGTACATTAAACTTTAACTCAACATAAAATACACACTTGCTCTAACCATTTGTTGTATTTTCAAAACTTAACCTAATATGAAATATACAGACTTCAGCCTACCATAGTACATTAACCTTTAACTCAACATAAAATACACACCTCAGTTATTTTAACCATATTGCTCTAACATTTGTTATATTTCCAAAACTTAACCTAATATGAAATATACAGACTTCAGTCTGAACCATATTGGTTCATATTTAGAAAATCTTTAACAAAATTTCAAAACCTGTGCAAATTTGTACAAAAACCTTGTCTGAACTGTGATTTATAGACCATCAACTGTATCATTTAGAACTGGCTCCAGATGTGTCTCATCTCTTCAACCTCTTAAAAAAACAAATTACATTAAGTTTGTTGAACAACTTGTCTATAAGTTTTAGTATAATGAGAAATAACAGTTACCTTTGAGCTGCAGCTGCATCAGAGCTTCTCCCATTTGTTGTTTCAAGGTGAAGTTGTGGAGCTGCTTTATCGCAAAAAAAATAAATCTACATGAAGGAATAACGTACGTTGAATCCACGATCTAGCATATTAAAAATAAACCTGAACCTCTCACCTTCCACTGAGCTGTCTGCTCATAAATCCGTTGTGATCCAGCAGGAGATGGAGAGGAAACTCTTCACAGCCTTTGGGAGAAACCTGGAAGTTTGTTGCAGAGTTCGCTGGTCGGCTGCTTTGCTTCATCTTCCGTGAATTTTGTTTTATATCCAAAATACTGTACCGCAATTTTATTTTACACTTCTTGTAAACAATTGTGCTCTTGTAAAGCTCTGTCTTCCCCCGGAACATTGTAGAATCTGAAATGATTTTTAAAGATGAAGCAGCAGGTTGAATCGCACTGTCTCCCTCCTCCATGCTAGCAGGCTCCATTCAGATAAAGGGAGCTGGCTAACTAGCTAGCTGTACGGTGGCCTACATGGCTCAATTCTACAGCGGCTGAATGGGGAGTAGGAGCAGAAAAAATATAAAACTTGAATACATTTTAAAATCGATTTTTGGACCTTTAGAAACGATTCAGAATCGCCAGGACTAAGAATCTAGATTAATCTAAAAAACGATTTTTTTTCCTGCAACTCTTAATTATTGTTGTTGTTTTTGTTGTTGTTGTTCGTCCGTTGAAAGACAGAGGCACAATGGTGTAGTCTCCGTCCATCCGTACACTTTCTCTTGTCCAGACCTGATCTGCTGAAGATAATTTGATTAAACATGATGCACAAATGCATCATCACCAGATGGAGTGTTGTGTACACTTTTCATGACACAGCCTCAAGGTCACAAATCAAGGTCAACATTAAAACAACATCTGCTTGTCCAGGCCATTGCTATAGGTTGCTGTACAATATTTTGTTGATGGGCGGATAATGTGCCGTCTGCAGTACTCTTGTTCAAATCTAACTCGTTTTACAATTTGTACCTTGTGAGGAGATTTCTGGATTTGTTGTTTTACTTGTTTCATCCATCCATCCATTATCTTCTGCTTGTTCTGAAGTCAGGTCTCGGGGGCAGCAACTTGAGCAGAGAGGTCCAGACATCTCTTTCCACAGCCACCTCTTCCAGCTCTTCTGGGAGGACCCCAAGGTGTTCCCAGGCCAACTGGGAGATGTAGTCTCTCCAGCATGTCCTGGGTCTTCCTCTGGGTCTCCTTTCAGTCGGACATACCTGAAAAACTTCCCTAGGGAGGCATCTAGATAGCATCCTTACCAGATGCCTGAACACCTCGACTGTCTCCTCTTGATGTAGAGGAGCAGTGGTTCTACTCAGAGCCTCTCCTGATAACTGAACTTCTCACCCTGTCTCTAAGGGAGAGTCCAGCTACCCTGCAGAGGAAACTCATTTAATCTGCCTGTATCCACAATCTCATTCTTTCAGTCACTACCCAGAGCTCGTGACCATAGGTGAGTGTAGGAACATAGACTGACCAGTAAAAAGAGAGCTTTGCCTTACATCTCCTCAACACAACAGACCAGTACATACTGCAGACGCTGCACCAATCCGTCTGTCAATCTCATGCTCCATTCTTCCCTTGTGAACAAAACCCCAAGATACTTGAACTCCTCCACTTGAGGGAGAACCTCACCCTCGACCTGAAGAGAACAATCCACCCTTTTCCGGTTCAGGACATTGACCTCACATTTGGAGGTGCTGATTCTCAACTCAGCTTCACACTCGGCTGCGAACTGCTACAATGAGAGCTGAAGATCATGGCATGATGATGCCAACAGGACCACATCATCTGCAAAGAGCAGAGATGGAATCCTAAGTCCACCGAACCAGAATCCCTCCGCCCCCTGGCTGCAACAAGATATTCTGTTCATAAAAGTTATGAACAGAATCAATGACAACGGGCAGCCCTGGCGGAGTCCAACTCCCACCCTGAAAGGGTCCGATTTACTACTGACAATGCGAACCAAACTCTCAACCACTTGTACAGGTCCTTCTCAAAAAATTAGCATATTGTGATAAAGGTCATTATTTTCCATAATGTAATGATAAAAAGGAAACTTTCATATATTTCAGATTCATTGCACACCAACTGAAATATTTCAGGTCTTTAATTGTTTTAATACTGATGATTATGGCATACAGCTCATGAAAACCCAAAATGCCTGTCCCAAAAAATTAGCATATCATGAAAACGTTCTCTAAACAAGCTATTAACCTAACCATCTGAATCAACGACGTAACTCTAAACACCTGCAAAAGATTCCTGAGGCTTTTAAAAACCCCCAGCCTTGTTCGTTACTCAAAACCGCAATCATGGGTAAGACTGCCGACCTGACTGCTGTCCAGAAGGCCAGCATTGACACCCTCAAGCAAGAGGGTAAGACACAGAAAGAAATTGCTGAATGAATATGCTGTTCCCAGAGTGCTGTATCAAGGCACCTCAGTGGGAAGTCTGTGGGAAGGGAAAAGTGTGGCAGAAAACGCTGCACAACGAGAAGAGGTGACCGGACACTGAGAGGATTGTGGAGAAGGGCCGATTCCAGACCTTGGGGGACCTGCAGAAGCAGTGGACTGAGTCTGTAGTAGAAACATCCAGAGCCACCGTGCACAGGCGTGTGCAGGAAATGGGCTACAGGTGCCGCATTCCCCAGGTCAAGCCACTTTTATACCAGAAACAGTGGCCGAAGCGCCTGACCTGGGCTACAGAGAAGCAGCACTGGACTGTTGCTCAGTGGTCCAAAGTACTTTTTTCTGATGAAAGCAAATTTTGCATGTCATTCGGAAATCAAGGTGCCAGAGTCTGGAGGAAGACTGGGGAGAAGGAAATGCCAAAATGCCAGAAGTCCAGTGTGAAGCACCCACAGTCACTGATGGTCTGGGGTGCCATGTCAGCTGCTGGTGTTGGTCCACTGTGTTTTGTCAAGGGCAGGGTCAATGCAGCTAGCTATCAGGAGATTTTGGAGCACTTCATGCTTCCATCTGCTGAAAAGCTTTCATTTTTTAGCACGACCTGGCACCTGCTCACAGTGCCAAAACCACTCGTAAATGGTTTACTGACCATGGTTACTGTGCTCGATTGGCCTGCCAACTCTCCTGACCTGAACCCCATAGAGAACCTGTGGGATATTGTGAAGAGAAAGTTGAGAGACGCAAGACCCAACACTCTGGATAAGCTTAAGGCTGCTATCGAAGCATCCTGGGCCTCCATAACACCTCAGCAGTGCCACAGGCTGATTGCCTCCATGCCACGTTGCATTGAAGCAGTCATTCATGCAAAAGGATTCCCGACCAAGTATTGAGTGCATAACTGAACATGATTATTTGAAGGTTGGCGTTTTTTGTATTAAAAACACTTGTCTTTCATTGGTGGGATGAAATATGCTAATTTTTTGGGACAGGCATTTTGGGTTTTCATGAGCTGTATGCCATAATCATCAGTATTAAAACAATTAAAGACCTGAAATATTTCAGTTGGTGTGCTATGAATCTGACATATGAAAGTTTCATTTTTATCATTACATTATGGAAAATAATGACCTTTATCACAATATGCTAATTTTTTGAGAAGGACCTGTATAGGGACTGAACAGCCCATAACAACGGGCCCCCAATCCCATACTCACGGAGCACCCCCTCACAGTGTACCCTGAGGAACACGGTCGAATGCCTTCTCCAAATCCACAAAACACATGTAGACCAGATGGGCAATTTCCCATGACCCCTCGAATACCCTAGTGAAAGCTGGTCCAGTGTTCCACGGCCAGGACGGAATCCACATTGTTCCTCCTGGATCTGAGGTTCGACCAACGATCGGACTCACTTCTCCAGTACCCCTGAATAGACCTTACCAGGGAGGCTGAGGAGAGTGATGCCCCTGTAATTGGAGCACACCCTTTGGTTCCCATTTTTAAAGAGGGGAACCACCACCCCAGTCTGCCAGGCCAGTGGCACTGTCCCTGATGTCCACAGGATGTTGTAAAGACATGTTTTACTTGTTTATTTAGCAAATTTATGCACATTTGATATCCATCAAATAGTTCTGCATTGTTGTAGTGTTCAGTACAACTATCTAACTGAACAGAATAGTTATTTCAAGATTCTGTGGTATTTTTGATGGAAAATGAAACGATTCATAATATTCAGGTTTTAATGTTTAGACACAAAACTTGTCTCAACAATAAAATAACAATTACAACAAGCAGTGTGTTTCCTTGACTGATGAAGCCTTCCGGATCGAAGGCGAAATGTTTCAGCACAAAAAAAGAAACGGTCCAGATGACCTGACTGAAAAATGTTGGATACAACAAGCAGTGTTGTAATTTCTTTTGCCATGCGTTTCTTGTTTCAACAGGCTGCTGAGTTAGCTGAATTCACAGCCAAAATTGCTTTGCTTGAGGAGGCGAAAAGGAAAAAAGAAGAGGAAGCAACAGAATGGCAACACAAAGTAATCTTACCCCAATTTATCAAATGTTAAAGGCAATTTACGTGCTTTTCTAAAGGTTGTTTTACAAGATGCATGACATTAGCTTTAGCAACAGTCAGAACATGCCAAACCTGTTTGAATTATTTAAATAGCAACAAATAACAAAAAAACTAAAAAGTGGAGACACAAAAACACATTTAAAATTGAACTTTCCCAATTTTTTTGCAGGTAGTTTAGTTTTTTCTCTTTTGCTGTAGTGTTTATTATTGTTATTATTATTATTTAACGCATTACTAGCCTTAGTGTTGTGTACACTGTCATTTCCCAGCTCCAAGGTCATGTTATAAATCAAGATCAAAGTTAAAACAAGTTATTTTCTTGTCCAGGCGATTGCTCTAGATTGCTGTGTAAAGTGTGTATTTTGTTGATGAGTGTATAATGTGTGTGGTACTCATGTTGTTTGTGACTTAAGCATAGAACAAGAATTATATATTTTTTTATTACAACATCAGAAAATTACTAGCGTGCTATGCAAATAATTTATATTTATATCAACATGGACCTGTCAATTGAATTTTTTAATTCAGTTTATTTATATAGCACCAAATCCCAACAAAGTTGTCTCAGAGCACTTTACAGAAACATTTACATACATTGAAAAGCCAATTAGTAAATTTCTCTATCTAAGGAATCCAGCAGACACAAATCTTCACTTTGTTGCAGTCTCCCATCCTGAGCAAGCACAAAGGAAAAACTCACTTTTAACAGGAAGAAACCTCCAGCAGAACCAGGCTCAGGACAAGTGGCCATCTGCTTTGACCTGCTGGTTTGAGAGGACAGGAAGGAGAGACAGACGAACACAGAATGGCAGGTCCAGATGTAGATGCAGGTGTACCTGAAAGACAAAAACACATGTCAAGGTTAGACAAAATAATTACAAATATAAAACAGGTTGAGCAGAGTAAATAAAGATAGTAGCAGAGTGAATAAGTGTGGTCAGTTTGTCCTCCAGCAGTCTAAGCCTGTAGCAGCATAACTAAGGGACAGCTCAGGAAACCCAAGCTGACACTAAATATAGGATTATCAAAAGGACATTCTAAAGCCCAGTCTTAAAACTGGATAATGTGTCAGCCTCACGGACAGAAACTGGAAGTTGGTTCCACAAGAGAGGAGCCTGAAAGATCTGCCTCCCATTTTGTTTTTGGAAACTCTAAGAACCACAAGTAAACCTGCAGTCTGAGAGCGAAGTGCTCTGTTAGGAAAATATGGAACAATAAGATCTGTAATATAAGATGGAGCCAGGTTGTTGAGAGCTTTGTAGGTTAGAAGTAAGATTTTGAATTCAATTCTGGATTTGACAGGGGGCCAATGGAGAGAAGCTAAAACTGGAGAGATATGATCTCTCCTACTAACTCCAGTTAAGACTCTGGCAGCAGCATTTTGGATCAACTGAAGACGTTTTAAAGTAGTATTTGGACATCCAGACCATTGCAATAGTCCAATCTAGGCGTGACAAATGCATTTATGTCAGTATCTTCCCTCTTTAAGAGGAGTTGTGCTTTCCTTTCAGGCTCTGTCAGCACAGGAAGACCTGGAGAAGACTAAGGAAGAGCTGAAGACGGCCATGACATCTCCACCAGCAGCTGAACATGATGAACAGGACGAAACAAATGCAGAGGCGAGCGCTGAGCTTCTCAGCGACAGTCTGAGCACTGACCGCAGCGAGGAGGAACGAATCACTGAGACACAGAAGAACGAGCGTGTGATGAAACAGCTACAGGTATGACACAACCACTGGTTCAAACCTGACTTGTGTGACGATCAAAGAGAACTAATATTATACTCATTTAGATTGTTTTCACACCTGATAGTCCGGTAGACTCGGTTCGGTTGGGGATCAATATTCATTACATTTTGTTTACATTTGAGCTGGTGCGTTTGCATTCACACTGCACTGTGCAGTCGAGTCAACCTGTTCAACCAACCTGTTCCCCCACTCGCCTGTGGGGGCGCTGCACCAAGAACTACTGAAAGAAACAACACAAAAACCTCTGAAGAAGAAACTTCTTCTTTTTCTTGTAAATAAAAATAAAAACGAAGTGGCATCAAGTTTTAGCAGTTTTAGGAGTTATATTTTGTCATTTTTCAAAAATGGACTCAGCATGAGCAGAAGATGAGACAGAAGACCATGGAGAATATTCTGATGCATGCTCAATAATATAAGAATATTGTTTTTCACACAAGGCAGCTGACGGCTCCATATAAGGTCAGAGAAATGTGTGTTTGTTTACCCTGTGGAGCAGGGACCGGTCTGTTTACATTCGCACTGCACTCGAACCGCGCTGGAGTTCTCTTCTACCGGACCGAGACCTAGGGTTTAGCCCGGGCCAGAGTTAGCCTTTTTGTTCCGTGACAGAGTTCGATGGTGCGTTCACACCTCCCCAAACGAACCGGACTTTCTAGGAAAACGAGCTAGAGTTCGATTAAAGCGGACTAAACAGAGCTGGTGTGAATGCACCCTTAATATATAATAGGGCCAGTCAAGGATTTATTAGGGTGTGGAAATATTAAGATTTTTTTTAATTTATGTCATTTATTTATATAATTTTTTTGCTCATGTCTATGAACAAAATTGTCTGCGAGGTCTCAAAGGACCACAGGGCAACTTCTAACAACTGAAGGTCTCTCTCACATTAATGTTGATGTTCACGAGTCCACCATCAGGAGAACACTGAACAACAATGGTGTGCCTGGCAGGGTTGAAGGAAAAGTCAAGTCAAGTCAGATTTATTTATAGAGCACATTTAAAACAGAAACTGTTACCAAAATGCTTAACAAAAATATCACATCAACAGATAAAAAGTAGCAAGATATATTTACAGCACATGGAATAAAAATATAAAACCAAAAACAATTAGAAACAATGAAATACTAAATCAAATCACGTTGTGTCAAAAGTCAAGGAAATAAAAACAAAAAGCATAATCTCAGTCAGAAACAATGAAATACTAAATCAGATCAGATGACCTTGTGTTAAATAGGGATAATGACAAAAGCATAAACAGAATCAGCATCAATGAAAAACCAGATCTAAAGCTGATCACCCTGTGTTAAATGTCAGTGAGTACAGATGTGTTTTTAGGAGAGATTTAAAAGCAGAGACTGAGGTGGCCTGTCGAATGTTGATGGGCAGATTGTTCCAGAGTTTAGGACCCACGACTGAGAACGCTCGATCTCCTCTGAGCTTCAGCTGGTTTTTGGTACGGCCAAAAGCAGCTGGTCTGATGATCTCAAAGCCCGAGAAGGAGTATAAGGATGAAGAAGGTCGGAGAGGTATGATGGTGCAAGGCCGTTAATGCACTTGAATGTCAGCAGGAGAATTTTAAAATCAACTCTGACACGCACAGGAAGCCAGTGAAGAGAGGACAGAACCAGAGTAATGTGCTCAAACCTGTGAGTTCCTGTTAAAAGCCGAGCTGCAGCATTTTGTATGAGCTGGAGACGTGAGAGTGAAGCCTGACTAACCCCAACATAAAGTGAGTTAAAGTAGTCCAGCCGGGAAGTAATAAATGCATGGACTAGTTTTTCAAGGTCGGATCTGGACAGAACGGACTTAAGCTTTGCTATCTGCCTTAGCTGAAAGAAGCTCTTTTGTAGAACAGAGTTGATCTGTTTATTAAGCTTAAAGTCCGAGTCTAACACTACCCCGAGATTGGTAACCGACTGCTTTAGATGAGGCTGAAGGGAGTGCAGGTTAACAGGATCAGTGACAGTGGTAGAGCTTGGGTTAAACACAATGACCTCAGTCTTCTGATCATTAAAGCTCAAGAAGTTTGCAGCCATCCAAGTCTTGATGTCATCAAGACATTTTAGCAAAGGGAGGATGGAGCAAGAACTGTTTGGTTTTAAAGGTAGATAAATCTGAGAATCATCGGCGTAACAGTGAAACGAAATACCATGTTTCCTCAGGATTGACCCCAAGGGGAGCAGATACAATGAGAACAGAAGGGGTCCAAGAATGGAGCCTTGTGGGACCACACAGGAAAGAGGGACAGAAGCAGATAAATGATTGCCAAAGTTAACACAAAAACTCCTGTCACCCAGATAAGAACGGAACCATTCTAGCGCCACCCCTGTAATCCCAACCCAGTGTTCTAGCCATGACATAAGGATGCTGTGATCAACAGTGTCAAATGCAGTGGTAAGGTCGAGGAGTACCAGGATCACAGACTGACCAGAGTCATTCACTAGCAGAATGTCATTACAGACCCTTACTAAAGCTGTCTCGGTGCTGTGCAGTTGTTTAAATCCTGACTGAAAAATCTCAAAAATTCCATTCAAAAACTTGGTTAGTTGACTAAAAACTATTTTCTCCAAGATTTTAGAAAGAAATGGAAGTTTTGAGATTGGCCTGAAGTTAGAACAAGCCGCAGGGTCGAGTCCGGGTTTTTTAATTAATGGAGTTACCACTGCATGTTTTAAAACATCAGGAACCACACCTGTAGCCAAACTGCTGTTAATAATGGCAAGAACAGAGGGTCCAGTTGACGGTAGAACCCGTTTAAAAAAATGCAGCAGGGATGGGATCAGCAGGGAAGCCTGAGGGTTTCATGTGACCAACGACCTCATTTAAAAATGAGAGTGAGATGGGGTCAAAGTGACTGAAGACTGCTGAGCAGGGGACAAGAACTGAAGGGTCGGCTGTGGAGTGTGGAATTGATGACCTAATCGACTCAACATTTTCAGCAAAATGCCTGACAAACTTATTACAGGTGTCAACAGAGGCCTCAATGGTGGCAGACTGAGGCACGTTTAGAATGGTGTTAATGGTGCTGAAAAGAACGCGGGGCTTGTGACTGTTTGAGTTGATGATTTTTGAGAAATATTTGTTTTTCTCCTGTTTAACGGTGGTCTGATAGGCTTTCCAACATGTTTTTAACATCTCAAAAGACACCTGAAGTTTATCTTTTTTCCATCGACGTTCAGCTCTTCTGCACAGGCGTCTTGCCTCTCGTGTAGTCTCATTTACCAAAGGGTGGGGCGTACGTTTTCGATTCCTGAGCTTTAACGGGGCGACTGAGTCCAGGATCTGTACACACGCCTCCTGATGCTGAGAAAGCAACTCCTTTGTAGTAAGACCCGCAGAGAGTTCAGAGTCTGAAACAGAATTACTAGCAAAGATGGAAGAGAAGAGTGTGGCGGTGGAAGGGTTAAAAATCCTACAGGGCTTGGGTGTGGGGGGAGGTGCTGGTTCACAAATCAAAGAGGTGTTGAATAAAACTGGTTTGTGGTCGGAACAAACAGTGTCACCAATTTCTAAATCATAAACAGACAAACCATGTGTTAAGACTAAGTCTAGAGTGTGGCCCTGCTGGTGAGCCGGACCAACAACACTCTGCACAAAGTTAAAGGACTGGATGAGGTCTAGAAAGTCCTGAGCTAATGGTTTATCTGGGCAGCACACGTGGATATTAAAGTCACCTAAAATCACAACCCAATCATATTGGAGCAGAACACCAGTTAGAAAGTCAGATAGTTCATTTAAAAACTGTTTATGGTATCCGGGGGGTCTGTAAAAAATAGCACACAGAATTGGGTTGGAGCGGCCCAGCTCACAACAGAGCAGTTCAAAACTCGAAAAGCCACTGCTCTGCAAAAAGAACATTGCTGCTTGTCTGCAGTTTGCTAAAGATCACGTGGACAATCCAGAAGGTTGTTGGAAGAATGTTTTGTGGACAAATGAGACCAAAATAAAACTTTTTGGTTTAAATAAAAAGTGTTATGTTTGGAGAAAGGAGAACTCTGCATTCCTGCATAAGAACCTTATCCCATCTGTGAAACGTGGTGGTAGTGTCATGGTTTGGGTCTGTTTTGCTGCATCTGGGCCAGGACAACTTGTCATCATTGATGGAACAATGAATGCTGAATTATATCAAAGAATTCTAAAGGAAAATGTCAGAACATCTGTCCATGAACTGAATCTCAAGAGAAAGTGGGTCATGCAGCAATTCATCTACTTTTAGGACTTTTTTAAGGACTTTTAGAGTTCACAAACATTCAAGCACCACTGTGTATGTAAACTGGCCACCCTAATCATTTGAGGAAACTTTACTTTCTAGTTTGAATACTACTTAAAAGTATACCAAAATTCATGCTCAGTAATCCAGGTAATAATCCAACAATGTTCAATCGGGTCATCTGGAAGGTTTCTTCTTTTTTTTTTTTTTTTGCCGAGATGTTTCATCCTTCATCCGAAGGACTTCTTCATTCTGAGGAGCCACCTACAAACTGAGTCCCACCACAAACAGCTCACTCCCAGAGTGGAAAAAAACAGTTTGCTGGTTATAAGATGGCCTCTGGGTCCACCCTCTCCCCCATCAACTCCTCTGAGGCAACCTTGCCAAAGTGATCACCAGCAAACTGTTTGTTTCGAGGTGGCTGCTTCTGTCTTTCCTCCCCCGTTTTTCCTTCCTCCTGCTCTGCTCTCTGTGTGTCTGAAGTGCCTGGTTCACATCTCCCGAACGTAATTTAAGAAGATTATGGATCTGGTATCCTGGACGTTCAACTGTATTGATAAGATTTTTTTCATCAAATGTTCATCAAAGCAACAAGGTCCTGGAGAACCTGTGTGTCCAGCTGAGACTCACGCTGTGGGGTACGTCATGGATCCGTGGGGGAGTGTGGCAGTTGATGTGCCCCTCAGTTCTGTCTCAAGAGGATGTTGAAGACGTTTACATATTTGGAATTATGATCGCAGGGACTCTGCTTTTTGGCATCGGCGGGGCTCTGCTTTATCGACGTTTGAAGAAAACATTGGCAGCAGTTTCGGCCATCGCAAAGCTTCCGAGTCAGTGTGAAGGTTTGGTCCGTGCTGTAGGAACTTTAAATCAACTGGTTTATGAGCTAAACCGTAAGGTGGACGCGATTTATGAGAATCGCAGGCCACCTGCGGCTTCTGGGACTCGTCTGCGTGGTGGGTTCGACCTTGAGGGAGACTCATAGCATGGATCAGTGGAATGGAATCCGACAATTAGGCTATTTCAGAACCAGAACATCCAGAATGGACTCAAGGCTGAAGGGGAAAAAAGTAATCTGTCTGCCTGAAGAAAAACAACAATCAAAGCTTATCTGAATCTGACTCCCGACGGCCTCGGAATGGGCCGACTATCAAATTTCTCCTGAGTCATGGGTAACCAAGGACAAAAGCTTAATCTGTCACACTCCCCCCTGATTCTGAGCTGTTTGTGGTGGGACTCAGATTGTTGGTGGCTCCTCGGATTGAGAAGTCCTTCGACTGAAGGATGAAACATCTCAGCAAAAAAAAAAAAAAAAACGTCCAGATAACCTGAGTGAACATCGTTGAATTAAAAATATTGTGTTCTCAAATGATTGAGGTTGCAGATTAATCTTTGGTGGCCAAGGCCACCATTTGTCACCCTCTGGCTCCTCCGCTGCACCTGTCATGGATAAATTTGCTTCCTTCTCTTGCCAGGATCCGTCACTCTGCTCTGCCTAAGACGAAAAGAAAAGACCTCCCTCTGTTCTTATACACTGTAACTCCTCCCCACTTGAATATCTTGCAATAAAATCATTAAAGTTTTTTGACATTCTCTGTTCAGTTCCAGTCCAGAAAAACACTCATCTCCAAAACTACAAACATTCACTATTCAAATGGCTCAGCGGTGGGGGGACATCGGCATAGTGCTTGTTTTATGAGGGCATAAAGTTTCTCTGTTTGGGAAACAAGATCTAGAAGTCGGTTCTAATTATCGGTACAGAACATCATTTATTTAAAACCATATTAAAGGTTGTATTCAGCTTAATGTTTCAACAGCTGGAGATAAGATTTTTAGATGACTTCACAATAAAGTCATGAAAATGAATTCAAGACCCGATCGTCAAAAAGTTTTAATTAATTTGAACAACCCCCTCCATAAAAACATCTGTTATCTGTTGAGATGAAGATGATGATCCCATCTTCCTCACACTGGCCCATTTATAAGGTCTTTCCTGTCCTCCCTGTTCACAGACACTGAGCTCAGAGTTGGCCGAGGCTCTGGACGACACCAAGAAAACCCAGAACGACATGCTGCATGCTGAGAACGTCCGGGCAGGAAGAGACAAGTACAAAACCCTGCGCCAGATCCGCCAAGGCAACACCAAGCAGCGTATCGACGAGTTTGAATCCATGTGAGCCGGTCGACGCATGATGCTCAGGAGAGACCATCGGTCTTGTTGCCATGTCATCTCCTCACTTGTGAAAGCCTAAAACCTGCTTCAGCTCCAGGCTGCTGTGCTTTTTTATGGTTTGTGTCTGCCCAGGAGAAAGACCAGCTGTGGTGCTTCAGGCCCCTCAAAGCTCGGCCTGGGAGCAGCTGGCCAGTCTCTGCTTTTTAGACCTTCGCCCTGAACCCAATAAAAGCACACGTCTTTTTTATATTTAACAATGGCAAGCAGCATACTCCCATGTACATTTCTAGTAAATTTAATGCTTGCATGTATATTTAAACCATGACGAGACAGGGATGGTTGTGCTTTTTACTCCAAACTAAATGGCCATTTGTAGCTGTAGCTTGTTGATGACAATGGCAGTACGCTTTAATATATGTACGTACGTATTCTTGTCACGAGCTGAACATTGTAAATGTTTTTTATTTTAATTGCCTTATGGATTATTTCCTGTCTAGTTTAACCTTCTCAAGGACAGGCTTGCAGTCATTTCTGTTGACGTTGCATCAGTTAGCTCATCAACTTGAACCATGTTAATTTGCAAAGATAACTGATATGCAAACCAAATCTGCTCATTTTGCTTTCTAACTGTTCAGTTTATCTGCCCATTGAGACATTTGTTCAAATATGTATTTTGCTCCTTAATAAAGAATGACTTTATATTTCCAAACGTGTTGCTGGAGTCTGCCTCTAAAATGCTGTCTGGTTAAAGCCGGATGTGTTTTCTCTTTTGCAGTGGGACAAAGCAGAACATGTCAGACATACATGTGTTATATAGTCTTTAAAAGAAGACTAAATGCTCTGCTTAAACTCGTTACACACAGCTGCACTACTAAATTTAAAGCTTTCCCATGCAGATAAAACAAGATGTTACTGCTACAGCAAGGAAAACTTGAATGGAGATGGTTGATATAATAATTATATCGTATTTTTTGGATGATTGTTTCCTCTGGTATCAGATGATGTGCAGCTGGAAGGATTTTTACTGAAACTTTTTTTAGTTTTGGACATTTGTTATGATGCGTAACCATGGCAACAAGGCAGTTTTCTACAACAACAGCAGCTGAATAACATCTCAAAAGCTGAAATAATATCTCAACTATGGCCCCAACTCTCAAATGAGTTGAAAAGGATGTTCTATGGACGCATTCTCATCTACCTACCAGCTGTGCTCGAGTGCCTGACCACTGAGATCCTGGAACTAGCAGGAAACATGGCTCACGATAGCGGAAGAACAGGATCGTCCCTCAGCACCTACAGTTGGCTGTCCGCAGCTATGAGGAGCTCAGCAGACTACTGGGAGGATGGCCATCGCTCTGGGAGGAGTTCTGCCCAGCATTCAAGCGGTCCTACAGTCCAGGGGAACCAAGAGGCCAGCCGAGTCTGGGTGGACGGATCGGACGGCATCTGCAGCCAGTTTCTTAGGATCCACTGTGAGATGGACCTTTACAAGTGATCCTTCCTGCCTACAGCCAGCATCTATAACATCTCTTAATGAAATGAAGATCACGAGTTACAACAACAAATAATTTCCCTCTGGGATTAAAAAAGTATTTTTGAATTGAATTGAATTGAATTGATGATCTTTAAAGCCACATAATGTAGCTTGATTCTGTCCTCAAACAATTAAATGTGCTGATGTATTAGCTTTAAAGCACCGTAACTTTCATTTGACCCATATTCTTATTTCTGTTTGATTTGTTGTTACTCTTCCTGCAGTTAAAAAAAATGCAAATAGAATGAAAATGAGAACGTGTGTCTCAGTTGGTGATGGTGTGTGTGCTCTGATTTTTGGTAGCAGTAAATTACACAAGATGAAACACTTTCCATCACTGATGAACACCAGCCCCACAGTGAAGCATGGCAGTTGCAGCATCATGCTGTGGGGGTGGTTTTCACAAGAACTGAAACTCGTCAGTTTAAGGGAAGAGGAGGCTCTAAATAAGGAGAACCTGTCTGGAGTCTCCAAAAGATGTCAAACAGATGAAAGTTCACCTTCCTGCAGGACAGTCTTAATCAGGGGCGACCAGACTTTTTCAGCCTGCAGCTACGTTTAAAATGTCCAAGTCAAAGTGATCTACCTACTATATGGCCCTGTTTACACAAGAACAATCTCTGGAAATGTAAAAAACAATATATAAAGAAATAAGATAAACAATATCAATAATGTTCGATATGTGTTGGAACATTGATAAGGACAGACTATTTACAATACTTTATAGGCAGAGTGTGTGTTTTAGCAGAGGTCAGCATGTATTTAATCCTTATTGAGTTTGTTGGGAGCGGTGATGCTTGTAGAGCAATTGGCCTGCTAAAATTGTCCAAAATTTGGACAATAAATGTATTTATTTTTAATACTTTTTTCAAGGGTGCTGAGGTAAAATTTAGGAGTGCTTAAGCACCCCAAAAAAGAGGTTAAAATCGCCACTGGTTCAGATTATATTTAAAAAACTGAATTTCATAGGAAAAAAACCCGTTTGTTACGTACTGTAACCCCAGATTCTATGAGTATAGGCGTAGCCCTTTAAGAGCTGTCGCTTAGTGGGTTTATCCCGTCATGCAAAGCATCGCACTGAAAAATTTAGTCCACGCCCACCTGTTGTGTGGGCCCCACCCGGTCCGTATAAATTACATTAAGAGCAGGTAATCGGCTCCCAAATAGCTTTTTCTTCAGCCATTTAGGAGCCAGTGAGGCCCGACGCTTAAAGGGCTACGCCTATACTCATAGAATCTGGGGTTACAGTACGTAACCAACATTCTATTTCGTATAGGCTTTGCCCTTTAAGAGCTGTCGCTTAGTGGGTTAAGGACGAAGCAGATGTAGTCCTCGCCTCACTGGGTCCATTCGAACACCATACGAAGTGGCAGCTTGCCCAAAAGCGTCTTGTCACTCAGCTCTCCGTGTGCGTAATTACACGTTGCGTAATTATGCGTACCATGCACAAATGCATGCTGTGTAGTTATGCGTTCTGAGTGCATGAACGCCCCGGAAAAATTTCAATGGGGAAAGGAAGATACTGAAAAAGGGCCATGAACCAACAGATTTGCGGCTGATCAATATGAACAGATTAATAATAACAAGTAAACTGATTATTAATCAAATGAACTGATTGGTAACAATAGTCATGAACTGATTAGTGACAATAGAACCAGAACAACAGTCACAACTTGTGGCTGACAACATCTCACACTGTGAAGCATGCAGTCAGATGTGAGTTTAAACGGGGTTCCATGAAACAACAATATTCATTCTGTTAAAGCACTAAGGACAGAATGTGTCATGGAACGAGCCGTCACATCACGTAGATAAAAGCGAATAAATGAGCAGCGTGTTGACCACGCGGCCGCAGTGCAAATATCCTGCATTGCCATACCATTATGCAGAGCAGTCGAAGATGCGATACCTCTGGTCGAGTGTGCTCTGAGGTTGACAGGAGGCTCTAAATCTGAAACTCTGTAGGCTTCAAAAATAGCCTCACACAGCCAGTGTGACAGGCGCAGGGTGGATAACGGGCGACCTGCAGATGCATCTCTATAAAGCACAAACAAATGTTGAGTTTGACGCATTGTGGCTGTGCGCGCTATGTAACACGTCAATGCCCGCACAGGACAGAGAAGATGGAAAGATGCTTCTTCTTCTGATTTGTGGGGGGGAGGGAAAAAACCCTCCAACAATATCACTCTTGATTTAAAAGAGCTCATGATGTTTTTAGTAGGGATGGGGCCGATCCGATCCAGTATCGGTATTGGCCTCCAATACCAGCATAATTTACATATCAGATTTTTCCGATCCACCTGCCAATACAGTATTTCCGATCCATGATGCAAGTTGGCTTCAAATTATGGAATGGATTTCCTGAACGGCAGCGTGTCTCATGAACCCAGAATAATAAGACCCGCCTCACATTCAGGAAATCCATTTCATAGTTTGCAGCCAGCTACTACATGATTACTGAGCACTGTGGCTAACAGCTAACAAACTTTTCATCTAAACATGTCCGCTGTGTGGAAATATTTTACACTAGAAACACCACAAAACAAGACAGCATGGTGCAATGTCTGCAGAGCCATAGCACCACATTAAACCGCGGTAAAGTTAGTTTTATGATGGACATTCGAGCTCCGTGGCTTCAGCGGGGCGCTGCTCTTTGCTCAACCCACAACAGGCGACTCGACCCCGGCCAGCCGCGTCCAATCTGCCCCGCTCAGTCTGCCCGTCTCTGAGGAGGGACAGACTTGAGCGCAGCTGCCCCAAATCAGGCTGCTTGCTTCAGATTGAACAAGAAGAAGACATTGCTGAAGCCACGGAGCTCAAATGTTTACAGAGAAGTTGCTAAACTTCATCTTAATTAATGACCAACCACTATCAGTTGTAGAAAACGAAGGATTTCTCAGCTTGATACTTGCAGCCAAGATATAGTTTACCCTCCAGGAGATATTTATTAGTACAACAGTAAACAATCATAAAAAAACATATGATTTGAAAATTATATTAAAAACAAAAACAGCTACATTATAAAGTGATGTAAAATACTAAAAACAGGAACATGCCTGTTGGTTTATGCCAGGTGTTTGAAGCCATTTAACATTTTATTTTATTTTATTTTATTCATTTATTCATTCATTTAAAAGAAACAAAATAAAATAAAAATCATCAAAAAGAAAACATTGAATGAAAAGAGTGCAGAAAGAAGAAAAAAAATTATTATATCTGCCCCTTATTAAAAAAAATATAAAATAACTTTAAACAATCACTTAAATTAATCACTTTAATATCCACTTTAAAACTAGGAATAAAAAAACATGTTTGTGTTAGCAGAATTTAATTCTAACTTTAAAACTTGTCCAACTTTAATACAACTTACCTCAAGTTGCCTTTTTGGACATGCATGCATATATTTGTACAAATTGTACTTGAGAGGAGATTATTACAGCCTCATATAAAATCAGTGATGATCATGATATCGGAACTGGATCGGTATCGGCCAATATTTAGACTT